CCCGTGGGCCGGGAAAGCATGCGACAAATTTTATATTGTTAGATTTGCCATGTGCCACCATATATCATTTCATATTTGCCAAATTATTACTATTTTGTAATTGCCATGCGCCCAATTATAATTATTTTATATTTGCCATGTGCCAAATTATTACTTAGTGCATTAGTGGTTACTCCGCATCTCCGCGTCACTGTATTCTGTACATATTATTACTTACTAGTATACTACATAGTAGTACATTTATTTTATACTTTATAGTATTATATTTATTTATGGTATATACTTTCCTGTCGCCATTCGCAACATGGATGATTTTGTTTTAAAAAACTTGAACGAATTGAAATGTTCCGGAAAATATTATTCAAGAATTTAAAGGTAAGTTTCTTACAAATAATAATATAAATAAATATATATTATATGAATTAGGGTTACCTAGTCTAGTTATTTGTTAGAATGAAAGCTTATGTAGCAAGTATGTAGGTAGGATGTAGGTACTTACTAACTTACTATTTACTAACAATACAGGAGTGCGTACGACCTGTGTGCACGTGCTTTGGCTGTATCTGACAATTTATTTTGGATTTAGTGGGCTGGTGGATATTTGTTTGAAAATCATACATGGCTCAATAATTTTAAATAAAACTAAAATATGAATATTCAAAGATAAAAAGTGATGATATGTCCACTACTTTTAATTAAGTAGATAATCTTACACACAATCCAGGCATTCCTATAATAATTTGACATTGTAATCCTCAACATTCATTTTTTTTTTGTAATAAATTATTCTACCCTACTCTTTGTAACTCATATGAGTCATTAAAGAATACGTGTTACAACATAACTACTTTAATTTTTGAATGTTGATTAAAAAAAGTAGGATGATATTTTATTTAAAAACCAAAATCATGTAATTTACTATTTCTGATTGAATAGTTTATGTTTTTTAATGGTTAGATAATGGAGTAGATGAAGAAGCTTTCTTATGCCTTACTGAGTCTATGGTCCGGGAGCTTTGTCTTCCTATGGGGCATCGTGCCAAAATAGTTAAAAGAATTGCTGAATTGAAAACAAAATTACCATCTAATGTCCAAGTAATTAAGATGTATTTATTAAATCATGATATAACCATGTATATTATTTAATAAATTATAAATTATAATGCATCTATACCTACATAATTCTATATTGTGTGTAATAAACTATAAAATTGTATTATTTACTATAGAATTCATGTAATTCATCTTCCGAACCAATGGTTTTTAAAATTTTTGCTGATGGTAATTTGAGTGATGTGAATAATATATTGAAMTCTCATGGAACTTTTGATGCTGGATCAAGTATATCTATGTGTTATAATAATTGTTATAATACTATTGTTGTTTTTAACATTCAGTATTTAAGCTCATTAATTAATTAAATTACATTTTAGGTATAGAAATTATCAATGCAGATTGTTCAGAACTTGATAACTGTATTATTGAAAATAACCCTATCCCCAGCCATACTGAATTACATTGCACTAGTATTGATACACCTAGCACCAGTAGCACCATTCATAATTTTGATATAAATACTACACAACGTACTACCATTGATACAGTATGTTTATTAAGTACCTAGTAATTACCTACCTACTACCTTGTAGGTATTCTCTTTATGACTGTATGAAAATAAAGTATTTTTACCATTTTTTTTTTACAGGTATCTGATGCAACAATTAACATAACAGTTATACTAAATAGTTATCATGATGGCCAAAATATTTTAGATAATTATGCAAAGAGTAATAAATTAAATGGACTGTTAAGAAATAAGTTGTCTCATATTCTAATTACACATTTTCTTAAAAAAA